TCAATGTGTGTTTGTTCATTTCCTTTTGTAAAAACAATTATATCATCAATATATGCAAGACAAATATGATATAAACCATTTAAAGTTTCATCCATGAATCGCTGATATATTGTTGGTGCCTGTTTTAAACCGAATGGAAGGACATTCCATTCATAGTGCTTCTGAGGAGGACATGAAAAGCGGTTAGTGGTTTCGTATTTTCATGTAAGCGTAATTGCCAATATCCAGATTTTGCATCAAATGTACTAAAATGTGTATTTCCTTTTATTTTTTCTAAAATATATTCTTTTCGTGGTAATTTATATGAGTCTCCTATAGTAACATCGTTCATTTTTTTATAATTAATTACCATTCTTCGTTTTCCCCGTTTTATTTCATTATTATTTTCTACATAGAATGCAGGTGCAAAATGGGGACTTGTGCTAGGTCGAATGATTCCTTTTTCTAGTAGTTCAGTGCATTCTTGTTTAAATTCAGAAACATCTTTTATACTATATGGAATTTTATTTGGAATATTAACTTCATCATTAGGATTTTTTAATAATATTATTCTTTCTTGATTATTTTTATTTTTAAATGATCTAGCGGGTTTTCACTATACACTTCCTCAAGTTGTTTTTCAACAATTTCTTTAGCGAACGTTAGTAATATACGTAGTTGAAAACAAACTTCTTGTTTGATTATTTTAAGAAGATCAAAATGTTTGATAATTGTAGTTTTTATAATACCTTTTGTCGGGTGATTGAGACTTATATGATCATTTGTTTGTATAAATGGTTGATATAATTTAAGGAAATTATTTCCTATTACTAAATTTATTCCTGAATCATGTTGATATATAGTTGGAGTAAATAATTTAAATGTTTGGTGATTCAAGTGACAATAAAGGGGTAAATAATTTATCTATATAAATTCTATCTTCTGTTTTAAATGTAATACTATGATGAGAATTTGTTAATGCATAATTTATTTGATATGTAATAGTAAACGGATGATTACCTTTTAACATAAAATTTTGTCTTAATAATTTATATCGTACAGTAATACTATTACTTAGATTTTTATCTTTAAGACTTAATCATAATTGAATATTAATATTAAATTTTATTTTTCCTTCAATTAAATTACCTTTTCCTTTTGCAATAATACTTTCTTGATTATTAATTATACGATCATCTCTGATTTCTAATTCTATTGGTGTATCTAAATCGCTAAAAGTACTTTTTAAAATTACTTGAATAGTTGATATATGAATATAAGCAATTTTTATTCTATCTACTTCTTTAATATTAAATAATCTATTTCTAATTTGTTGTTTATTTATTATGGGTATAATAATATTTTCTTGAGTTGATTCTATAGGTATTGGTTCTACTCCTATAATTTTTCCATAATATATAATATTTTTTCTAGAAAAGAAATTTTTTAATGGGTTATTTCTAAAATTATGTTTTTCTGATAGTGTAAAATTTGATTTTTTATAGCATCTTTATTAATATTATTTTTGTTAATTAAAGCATCAAAAGTGTATCCAGATTCATTTTTTTCGTTAATAATGATTGGTGAATTTTCTATTTCTTGAGACATATTTAACAGATTAGTTTTGTTATTTTATCTTCTAGATTTTTTATTTTTTCTTGTTTCCAATTTATACTATTATTTATTATATGTATTGCTTCAATATTGGATATACAATTAATTATTGATATGTTAGAATCTGTTTTTAAATTTAAAAGAAATTTTTTAGATTGTTTCAATGTTTTGCGAAAAAACTTTAATTCTTGTTTAATAATATTTAAACTTGAAAAACTCATGATTATAATTTTTAAAATGATAATTTAGCTTTTCTTTCAATGGTACGACTAAAAATCATAGATTTTAATAGGATGGTGGGGTTTGTTATTTATGATATTTATAATGGTGGTTATGATGCCAAAGTTTTCATACAGAGAATTAAAAACTTTTTTACGAAATATGTTTGCAGGTACATAGTAATAATCATTGAATTTATGATGATGCATGATGAACATATATTCATATGAACAAAAGATTTATCATTCATAATCATAATAAGAACGATACTTAGCTCTGATACCAAAATTAACGACATGACGAAATTAATAAAAATTAGGATATGATTATACCTAAATGATGCGTCGGGATGGATTGACGATGGATTGTTTAAATTATATGAATGATTATATGAATAATCTTGGGTATGTTTGGATAGGGCTCTGCTATTCAGAAATATAACGACTATTTCAACAGAGGAAGAACTTTGAGATCAACTAAAGTCTTAGACACTTAAACTTAACTTGTTTATTTCATATGGGCAAAGACCATATTTATAGGCTCAAGAGAGTCGGTTACATAATTAAGTTGCAATCGTTTGATTGCAATACGACATACATATTTACAATATAGCCCCTAGACTATTGAGTGTTACACACTTTATTTCGGTTACACTTGGGTTACATTCCCCTTGAAATAAAAAGTAAATCATAAAAGTGGTGTTTATTTCGGAAAAAATAATAATTTGTGGTTTAAAACGAAAAAAAGCTAAAATACAAGGTCTTATATAGAAATAACCCCCCCCCCCCCCCCAAAAAAAAAAAAAAAAAAAAAAAAACAACGAATTTCAAATCCGCACCTCTGAATTCCTCCGACCTCCTCCCGAACGGTAAATTAGAGCGAAAATTTCATTATTTCATGTTTCTTTGGACCTTTGTGCGAAAGTAAGGTTTTTCTTCGGTGAATTTCTGTGGAACTTGGTAAAGTCTCCGGATATTCAATCTGGCAATGGACTACGAACCTTTCGATAGCAGCGGTGAGTTCTAACTCTACAAAGATCCCAGTTTTTGAAGTTCAACTTGTTGTAAGCTAGGGTTTTTGGTTGAACTTGTTATTGATCAGTACGGCTTGCTTTCAGCATTCATTTTTCGTGCAGCTTTTTTTATTCTGAAATGGTTTTTTAGTGTTTTCATGTTCAAAAAATTTGTATGCTTTTCGATTAAATCAAGTAAAGAGTAAGATACGCGAAGTATGATGACAGTCTTACGGGTATTGTTGTTACAGCAGCTGGAATTTGCTGTTTTGACTAATAGTAGTTAGTAGTTTGGGTTGAATGTGCTTGAATTTAAAGTAAAGCCACGAAGCTGAGAGTTACCTTGTTAACATTACCAAGGAGGGCGGATGAAATACGCTCTATTCAGTAAATAAAGGTTACTTCAGGGCATTATGTTAAGTTCACAAGTGGAACTGGGGAAAGAGGGCAGAACCTCAAGCTAATTTATTAAGACAAGTGGAACTTTTGGTTGGTGGCTATATAGAAATTTGAATTTTTGGGTAGTTAGTGACACGCAAATAAGATGTTTGTCATAAGTTACAAGTATAAAGAATCATGTGGCTTGTGATGACGTAGGGTCCTAGGACCATGTGTAAGCTTTCCTTTTTTTTTTGGTTAATCATTGGCTGTTGATTTTCATGCATCTCCCTTTCAAGGTGCGTACTTTGTGTTCCTTAGTCAGGTGTATGTTTGCCCACAATTCCATATAGCATCCCACTCCCAAGTCCCTCCCTTTCTTTTGTCTTGTTAATTTCTTTTTTGGTTTTGCTTGTCATCCGAATGTAAGTTTCCAGGTCTAGAAGTGGGTTCTGTGTCTTTTTAGATTCTATGTGCCATGCTTTTCCAAGAGTGATAAGTGAAAGTGTTAGAAAAATTTGAACTCTAGATAACTGATTATATGAAATTGGCATTTTGGTGAACTCAAATTATATGAAACTGTGACAGGAACCGATGATGATCTTCCTCCGTCACATCAAAAGAGAATTCCAAGAGGTGTTGCAGGAAACGGAAGATCTGCCCAATATCCAACAATGTATGAGGAAACTGATATGGAAGCCCAAATTCACCTCCTTGAACAAGAAGCATACAGTTCAGTTTTAAGAGCCTTTAAAGCTCAAGCTGATGCTATTACATGGGTACTTGTTGTCATATTATTATATATACAGTTATTATTATTATTTTTTTGTGAAATATGAATGTCAAATGTCAAATGAAATGTATTTATTTCTTCAGGAGAAGGAAAGTCTAATTACTGAACTCAGAAAAGAACTAAGATTATCGAATGAAGAACACAGGGAGCTTTTGGGCAAAGTAAACACAGATGATGTTATCCGTAGAATAAGGTCCAGTGGTGCTACAAAACAAGCTTTATCTGTTTTGATCTCTTGTATTTTTATGGATAATGTTTCGGTAATGGTAATGCTAATAGGGAGTGGAGGCAGTCTGGTCAAGTTATTCATGATCCATCATCACCCAGTCCCTCTGTCTCAGCATCTTGTAAGAACCCAAACCCAAACCAACCATCTTCCTCAGCTGCTAGAAGAGCACCTTTGACAGGAACCAAGCTCAAAAATAAGAAATCTGTAAGCAAAAACCAGATTTCTTTACTCACACTTGTTCAAAACCTTCTTCAACACTCAACTTTTTTTGTTCCATTGTTATGTAATTTCATATATTAATATTATGTTGTCTTTATTCTTTGCTCATGTCATGTGTATATACGACATGACAAGCTAATCGAAACAGTTCCATTAACTTTTCCTTTTTACCAATGTCGCCTTTGGTCGGTCATTTTACATGTATAAGCAGAATTTGCCAAACACTAAAAAACAACTCATCGGCTTATTGCGTTTTGGTACAACGTAAGCAAATCCCCTAAACTCCGTTTTGATACCATACCACACAATAAGCATTTTAAAAAAAAAAAGCATAAGTTGTTTTAAATAAGCAAAATCCCAAAATCAGACAAAAATTTAAAACTTGGTTACTATCTAGTGACATTGGCCTTTATGTTATATGTTAGATGATGGGGGGTGGGGCTGGAGCATCTTCAATGAAAATGCAGTATCCTTCCTCTTGTGGCCCCACTGGAAGCGGAAGAGGGGAAGTTGGTAATCGTGTCACTTGTGATGCACTTGTTAACGAGACAGCATCATTGATTGGGAGAAAAGTGAGAACGAGGTGGCCTGATGACAACAACTTTTATGAAGCTGTTATAACGGATTATAATCCTATTGAGGTAATTTGACTTTTCAACATGTATAGTAATAGTATATCCAAACCCCAAAGTTATGCTGAAAATTTCTTGTTATGGTTTTCAGGGTCGACATGCATTAGTTTATGATATACATACCGCAAGTGAGACTTGGGAATGGGTTAATCTTGCAGAGGTAAGTATGGAACTAGAAGTATTTTTATAGATGCCACGATGATCCAGGGTGAAAAGCTAAACTATTGTAAGTGGGTGGATAAAACTGGAAAGCTATTCATGGGAATGGGAAGCTTCTATGACATTTGTAAAAAGAAAAACTGCCTTAGTCTTGCGTAGGTAGTGCTTGGTATGATGGAATCAGTCATCAGGAATGGTTTATTCTGTTGGAATGGAACGGACAGGGTTGTTTTTTTTTTTTTTTTTTTAACTATATATATATATATATATATATATATATATATATATATATATATATGACACACGGATGGATCTCTTAATAAAAAGGTGATGATTTTCGAGAAAATATATATTTTTAATTTTTATTATAATCTTATTTTAGGTTTGAGTGAGTTGTGTTGTGGTGTTAGTGATGGTATGTTGATGCATCAGATTTCGGCGGAGGATATACAGTGGGAAGGGGAAGACCCTAGAATTCCTTACAAAGAGAAAGGTGGTTACAAGCGATTAGGATTAGGAAGAGGGCGAGGGATGACATTGACAAAAGCACTGACAAGAAAAGAAAAAAATTTCCCAATCCCACCATCACAAAATGGCATAGGAAAGAACCCTCCACATGATATTCGATTACTTCACACTGATGCTCTAATAAAAGAGGTAACACCAACCAACATCCATATATATATATATATATATATATATATATATATATGTTCAAGTCTATTCATCTGGTTAACAACAATATTATTTATGTGCAGGTGGAGAGGGTGTTCGGTTCTGGTCATCAAGATCCTCTTGAAATAGAGAAAGCTAAGAAATTGCTCAAGGTTAGTGTTAAAAAAAAGAGTCATATTATTATTATTATATTTTTTTAATGCTCAAGTAAGTCAAGAGGGCTTGTTAGTCATTTTGTTTTTTGTTATGTAATGCAGGAACATGAACAGGCGCTTGCTGATGCCATTGCCAGGCTTGCTGATATATCCGACGGTGAAACTGCTACTTTTTTTAATCATAAATCATAATCATACAAACCGTGGTACACAAAAAAGTTTCGATTCTTTTGCTAAAAATGGGTAAATCTCAACTTTTTTATATTTTCATGCGAATTTGCTAGTTACAATCGAATCCCACACTAATTGCATTACATTACATGCTGATTGTTATCATTTTGATATACAATATTTCCATATTATAATAATCATTGAAGAATGTTTCAGAGAGTAGTTGATCATTTTATAGAGGGTTAAACGCAAGAAATGGCAACGTAGTTTCTTTGCTGTGTTTATTATAGCATTTCTTCTTTACATCACTGTACTTTGAAACAAAGCAAAGCTATAATTGGGTGGAATTTTTAAATTATAAAGTTCTAATAAGAAAAAGATTGAAACTGCAAGGTAGAAAAAAAAATAGATCCATGGGTCCAGTGCTTCTTCATGCATAGATCGATGTCAAGTTCACGCAAATTTAGAAATTTGGTACAAATTATTATGAAAAAAAATAATAATAATCTTTTTTGGTTTTGTCTGTTGGAATGTGAGACCTTCCATTTTGTTGCTTTTCATTCCTTAGCATGTTTAATCTCTTCCTTCATAAAGGCTCATGGAAATTCGTTTTATTCCTATAGACCAACCAAACATGATCAGGGAGTGTAATGAATCATTCCATTACCTTGGTAATCTCTCCATTCAAAGGATGGAATCATAGTTCAAGATTCCATTCCATGTTTCATGGATTTCGCTTGGTTGCCAAATCAAATGGACAAATTTCAGTTCCATCGAATTCCTTCAATTTCAATGTTTCATGTATTACCTTAAACTAATACTAGTAGTAATAGTATGAAAGTATAAATAAATTTCTAAAACTTTATTTAATATTGATTATTGAATTCCATTCCATAAATCATAAATATGAGTTGATTACCATAGGATTGTAATTGTCGTTTGTTGGATTGTGTTTGGAGTGTGCATGCATATTTAGGAATAGGATGCAGTTAACCGTCCTTGTTCATTATACAGATGAAGGTGGTTGGTTCTTGCATGGGCAGCTGATGAATCAAGAATGACAATTATGCCCTCATCCTCATGTGTGCCAAAACAGATTTTAATGAGCACTTGCCCAAAATGTGACCGTGAAGGCAAAGATAATCTATATTTTGCACATTTAAAATCAATCATAGATTTTATACTAGCCAGGGAATTGTTGTAAAATGTGATAAATCTCCAGGTTTATGAAGTTACTGCTTGTAATGTGTATTTATTAGTTTTTGGGGAAGGGGGTAGTTTGGTAATTTACGTTTAAGCTTGTTGTAGAAATTGTTTTTCACATATTTTTTAGAAATTATTTTTCACATATTTTTGCCTTTTTGATCGTTTGAAGGGTTTTTTATGAGGTTTCTGGTCTGCACTACAGCACTTGTATTTGAAGGAAGAAATGGCCTTGAAACGTGTTTGTTGTTTTTTCTATTTTTAAAAAAGTTGTAATTTATTTCTTTTTATAAGTACACAATAGGAAAAATGACAATTATTGATAGTAACATGTGACATTCTGACCGTTTTTTTTTTTTTTTTTTTTTTTTTTA